CGCCTCGGCCTCCCAAAGTGCTGGGATTACAGGCGTGAGCCACCGCACCTGACCAATCGTATTTTACATACCCACGACAGTTGCGTTTTCATTTTTTTTTTTTTTTTTTATTATCCGTTATTTTATTTCAAAAGATTGTGTTTTTAGGCCAGGCGCAGTGGCTCACACCTGTAATCCTAGCACTTTGGGAGGCTGAGACGGGGATTGCTTGATCCTGGGAGGTAGAGGTTGCAGTGAGCCATGATTGCATCACTGTACTCCAGCCTCGGTGACAGCATGAGACCCTGTCTCAAAAAGAAAAAGAAAGTTGTGTTTTTAAAACGCTTTAAAGCACAGAAGTGCAGACTCAAAGTTGTGTGAACTCACAGGCATTATCGGGCAGGCCCTGACCCTAAGTCCCTAAGTGAACAGCTGTTATTGAGGGCCGGGAAGGAAAGGATCAGAATGGCATGGAGGAGAAATTCCCGAGCAGAACGTTCCAGAAAGGAGATGTGAATCATTTTGAGAGAAGGTTGTGCTAGGGGGAGCACGGGTATCACATGGTATCGAAATCTGCTGGTCACATCCCCATACGCGGCTGGTTGACTCCACCCGAGCCCCCAGCCTGCAGTGTCGGTGCTGGGGATGCCCCGTGGCTGGGCCGAGGCTGACGCGCCCTCTCCCTCTCCCCAGTACTGCTGCGTACGGCCACTGCCAACGGCTTCCAGATGGTCACCAGCGGGGTACAGAGCAAGGCCGTGAGTGACTGGCTCATCGCCAGCGTGGAGGTGAGTACCACCCGCCCTGGCGTTGGCGCCGCGTCCCCAGGGGTCCCTGCCATCCACCTGGCTCCCCGGCTCAGCTATGCTGGAGGGCAGCCTCTGATGGGAAACGGGTCAGATCTCTCCCCTGCCCGGGCGAAAACCTCCTGTGCCTCCGCTGGCAGCTGAAGGAACCCAAACTTCTCACGTGGCTGGGGAGTCACTCTGTGGAGCGCCCAGGCCCCTGCCAGCCCCCGGTCCATCTCCTTCCTTCCATCGTGGGCCCCCACACACCAAGCCGCCACCTCCAACCCCAGGGCCTTTGCACCAGCTGCCCCTCCCAGGAAGCCCCCTCCAGGCTGCAGGGTCGCCAGCCTCCCCTCGTCACAGAACCTCACCCGTCAGCCCAGACACTGCGTCCTCACAGACCCTTCCGAGCACCCCCGGTGTCAGCAGAGCGAGAGAGGGTGGGGAGCTGCCGGTGTGGAAGCTCAGATCATCGAGGCAGATCCAGAGGGTGAAGCCTATGTCGCTGCTGCTACAGCACCAGTAGGGGCCTTAAAACCCAAGAAAGGCCGGGCGCGGTGGCTCAAGCCTGTAATCCCAGCACTTTGGGAGGCCGAGACGGGTGGATCACGAGGTCAGGAGATC